GTGTGTAGCAAACAAAAGGAACATGAAACCCTTAACTTATCTAACTTTAATCAGAAAAATTTAACTAAATTTCAATTTACATGTAAGGGTTGCAGTAAAACCGTCCATTTCACTCTACCCGCCTCCTCGTTATACATTTATAGCATTATAAACCCTCCCAACTCATTAGTTAATTGCACGCAGAAAGTAAGCTAATAGATTATTCACACGGACGTCGAATCGCCGAACTATTTTACTCCTCTGTATGAACGACCGAGAAGGGAACACACGGCCGGCTGTTTATTGCTTTTGGAATAAGATTAAAAAATTTGCATTGCTTACATTGATTGCGCTTTTGTTTGGCACTTGTAAGGTCGGGAACTTAAAATCTAACTTAAACTCGATAAAATATTTGCTTGAAAAAAAAGGAAATCAATACTTGTAAGGCTGGTTAGCAATGATTCAACCGTAAATGAAGCTAACTGTACCATTGATGAATATGACAAATACTTTCTCATTTTCATGAGAGATTTATGAACGACGCACGAATAAAATTTATACGTCAAGTATTTATTTTTCATGAAATCATTACTCATGCTTACTTTTCCGACAAATAAGGAGGACATGTAACGTCATTTAAATTATAGTACCTGGAGGACCGAGCTTTGCTCGGTTTTTTTTTGTTAAATCATGTATTTTGGAAATAAAAAAATAAAGAAAATTCTGGTATAGAAAAAAAAGTTAAAAAATAAGTGTGTAAATGATCGTGATACGAACCGCGGCCGTCTGTTTTGGGGCCGCCCGATTACCGGCCGAGCTATTATAATTTTTTTTTTTGCGGCGAAATTTACTGTCATATTCGACTGATATTTTTCATTCCCTGAAAACAGGGATAAAAGGACATTTTCCGGCCCCGAATCTACGCACATACAAAATTTCATGAAAATCGCTGGAGCCGTTTCCGAGATTCCGATTATATATATATATATATATATATGTATAAAAATACAAGAATTGCTCGTTAAAAGGATAAGATATGCAGTAAATTAATTTTATAGCATATTTGATTTTATTTGAAGGACTTGTCATATTTAAATTTAGAATGTCTATAATATTTCCATAAAAAACACAGAGAGCATTCGAAAAAATAATGAAGTCCGTTTTCAAATTTAATGTCAATACAAAAACTGAAATAATAAGTTTTAAATTATAATGACGTGAAAGAGTATCGCTAATCGTTTCTAATAGTACTATTTTAAATTACGATTTAGAAGCTCAAATGTCGATGTAGTTATTGTGTTCTTTAGAACGTCCCAACAAGATAATAATTAGTTAATAATAATTAAGTTAGATAATAGTTTCGTTTCGGTCTCGCGTTCATTATTCACAATACATAGTGGTCTCCGGTCGTAATGAGCTACAAATGGACGGACCTCCCGCGGTAAGCTGATTCAGAGGTCGCCGGAAGGTCCCATGGGTCTATGTTGTCGATTTAGTCGCCCGACGCGACGGGTCGTTTCTGAACTACACAGGAATACGACAGTTCTGGAATGCCCTGGCTGGTTCCGTACAATGATGTGCTTAGTGTGAAATTGGCTGTCAGTGGCCTTTACGCACTAGTATATTTATTTTGAGTTTTTTTTTTCACTACAGGAATGTTTTCAAGAATATATTTCTATAACAAATAGTCTAGCGGCCAGATAGTCACTTAGCCACTCGGCCAGTAGCGACTTGTTTTGATTCGTCGTGACTTGAACCATAAATACACTAATATTTCAATTCAAGTACATGTTCACAAGAAAAGTAAAGGAACAGAAAAGATTTTGATGGGTATGATTAACATTATAAATACAATGATCATGGTAAAGTCTAATGACCGAGTCCTACGTTTCACTTTAGTATAAACAGTATAAATAGTTGTTAATGAATTTCTTTAATATCTATAGCCGATAAGAAATGCTCGCTCCATAGAGACGTTAGGCGGAAACGTCTGTGTTCTCGCGACAAAGTGCGAGCACGTTTCTATGGCAACGGACTCTGGTACTTCCGGGAAACTTGAGCGTCTCTCATCCTTTTGATGCTCGCATGTTATTTGCGTATGTCACCCGTTCTCCTTTCAAAAGTGCCCTTCACGTAGTCGACTCTTTGATCTCTCCCCGCTATGCCGAACTCTGCTGCACGCCGTTGCGTCGCCGACGTAGTACGGAATGGAGAAAATTGACGGAGACGGTGCGAGAAAAATGCTCGTCTCATTTGATCGCGTTCGAAAATGGCGGAATTCGGATGACATTTACGTTTTATTTGCAGATGTCTTAGTGTGTTAGACCAGAAATGTACAGAAATCTATCAAGTATTTCCCTTGTTTCATGCATGTTAACATAACTTAATTTATTTTTGATGTAGAATTTTACTGGACTCAACAAGAAAATATGTAGGCAGTAAAAGAATAACTATATACTTTCCGTGCAATGAAACGAAGTTGTGGCACAGAGTCACATTCAGAAAATGTCCTAATCCCGCGTTGACTGAAGTAAAAGAAAATGAAAAGAAATCTATCTCGTTAGTAAGCAGAATTAGATTATTTGGTATAAGTGTTGTTATGTTCGGAACATTACAAAGAACTTCTTACGCAAGAGAAAAACTTTTAATGTCAGCTGTATTACGTACTTTTGGCGTAGCCTCTCTAGAGAGAATATGCTAGGAAATGCATCTAGGCCGTTATTACAAAAGAGGCCAAATTCTTTGATGATCCTGTCAAATCGAGTGATTGTCAGAAAAATCATAACAATTTCATTCTAAAATCGTATAAACTGAACGTTCGGCGTACTTAGAGCAGAGGGGGAAACACGTTCCGGTCATCCATCGACGTTGAGGACGTGTGTTTTCTTCATCCCCTTCACGTAAAACGGAAGTCGCGGTGGACGCAAACGAAAAGCGCGCGTGCAGCGTTCAAAGTGTTATTGAACGCTTACGAATTTTCTTATGCTCTCCTTTATTTATTTACTCACTAAGGTGAACTTACGGCCAGTTTCAATATTCCATCTACAGATAGATTTTTTACTAGCGTTAGATATTTGATATTAGCTACATGATACTTATTTACGTCAGAATTCAATCTCAAATAACCAAATCGTATCTATAGGTCGTTTAACTATGGTAGGACCACGCAACAGTGCTCGCTGTTGCACGAATGGGCAGGTCCGTCTGGGTTAGTACCACGACTTCACAGAAGACCGGCCTGAAGTAGAAGTACCACACTTCTGCGATTCGTCTGGTGAGAGAGGTACCCGGGGCCACACAATTTAATAACTCTTTCTTAATAACTTACGCCAGTAAGAATAACAGGCATACTTCTATAATAGTTAAATCATTGTTTTTTAAAGAGAAAAGTTGGCAAGCGAGCAGAAGGTTCACTGGAGGTTTACTGCAAATGACATCTTCAACATCTATCGTGTGCAAATGCATTGCCAACCATTAAAAAAGTACACTCCGATTAGGTAATTCGGGTGCACTCACCAGACAAAACGCGAAAGTATAATACTTCCACTCTACATCGGTCTTCTGTGAGACCGTAATACTTACACGGACGATCCTGTTCACTCATATGAGAGCAGAAACATCTACGTGACCCTACCACATAGGGTCAAAATACATCTTAGTACACTCGTATTATACATTATTTCCTTGTGATTATAGAAGCTAGGGTTTAATTTTAAATTAAAATCCCTTAAAAGGATTATGTTAATCTATATTTGATGTCCTACTTGATTATTAACAACTCAGTAGTCAAAAATCGATAGCGCCCGCCCTAAAAGCACCCCACCGGCATCGATCTGGCATTAGCCTCCGTTAATCGCACCGCTCAACTTCAATAAAACCTTTAGCTACTGCGACACGTATAAGCGCGGCGCTGTTAGCTAAATCACGAAAGCACGATAAATAGACGAACGGGACTGCGAAATGAAAACAAACGAGCGTACGCCAATTGAAATCGAACCCGGGGAACACGTCATTAATCAGAGTCTAGCCGACGCCGGGCGAGAGTACGAAGAAAGGTCTTTTTGCTCGCAACACCGCTTTCGGCTGTGTCGGTACCTGTTGTTTGAAAAGCTACTCGTATATACAGATCGGGACAAGTAGCTCTCTCGCTAACGAGACGTTTTCGAATTTTGAACGTACTAGTGCGCTTGAGAAAGACTTTGAGCGATCGACCCACCTTTGTCTTGGTGCGCGAGTGTAATTTACGAGTATATTAAATTCTTCACTTCAATGGCAACTGGTGGTGAGGCAACGCAATGGTCTTCACTGTGCACTAATGGGCAAGTCCGGGGAAGTACCACGATCTCACACTAGATGAAGTGAAACTGTTACACGTCTTTGTTTCGTCTGGTGAGTGAAGGCTCCAATCTATTAAAATGGTGGCGGCTCTAATTAAACGACGGATCACCTGACGTTATCATTTAACATCAGGTGATCCGCTTGCCTAACCTAACATAAAAATAAAATTGTTAATTTGCTACCACAGCCACAGACCACAGATAGAAAAAGTCATTCGGGGAAGATTCTCGAGATGCCTATGTTTCATGCATGAATATATAAATATGTATGTACTTTTTATTTATGTCGTAATAAATTCTAGCTTTTATTACTCAGGACTATCGCATATAAATATTTTATGAGATTAGCGCTATAAAAAGTTAGTATAAAATGTAACCAATGAAATATAAATATCAAATTTAAAAAGTTTTACGGTGCTCTTATAATCTATAGAGCATTTGCAGCACCATAATGTATTATATGTTTAAAATATGTAACATGTAACAAACAAACACAAAAATACTACAATCGACGACAACCTAACGTTTCTTTTACTTTTCGAAAGAAACAAAAAAAAAAACAACACAATACTACTCAGTCGAAAAGGTTCTCTAAGTCGTAAACGGAACCTCTTTCACTCCGCAGTCGTTAAAAAGGAAGGTCCTCCACGGCGTGGGTATAATGAGAGCGAAGCAATCATCACAATGAATGGAGAGTCGCAGAGAGGTAGAGGGCCCTTGTTTGAATGCCGGATTCTTAGACGGCTCGGTGGGCCGCTGGCGGGCAACCACGCGACCTTTACAACTACACCACGACACGGCATCGTCACGACACCGCCACGACACCGCCACGACACCGCCACGACAGCGGGGCGATTTTGCGTGATGCGCTTTGATGTAAGTTCACGTATTAAACTAGAGTCGAGCACCCGTGCGAAGTTTAATGACATCGCATATTTAAAGTCGAGACAGTCGTCGTCGTGATCCAACCACCAGCAGCCCGTTTGGAAATGAAAAACTCGTCGAGAATCGTCTCTTATACAGAGACGCGTTGATGATTAACGCGTTTCTACACAATTTGAATTGTCTATGTGTTTTGTTATATCGTTCCGTATTTACTCGTACAAGGCACAGCTATTACGAGTAAATTTGTTATAAAATTAAAAAGTCTCTAGGGGAGTTTTAAATCCTGAAACTTCTGATTTATAAACAAGATAAATGTCATAAAGTAGTTTTGACACAATCTTTGTAACATTCGTTACAAAACGAATGTTACAAAGGGACGAAAAGGAACGTTTAAGAGAAAATTTGATTTAGACTTGTTCTACGTATTTCGCAACCAATAAGTATAGAGGCAGAAATTTAATTAGCGAAGTTCCGCCGGATTAGCTTTAAGCTCACTAGCCGCATCGCCCGTCGCAAGCTAACGTTTTCCCGAAGTCTCACATGGAGCCTTTTTTGTCCACTCCACTGAATCTTTCCTGGAAAAAGTTTAGTTTCTCCGGGATTAATTGCTCCGAACTCGGCAGCCCAACAACGGTTGGAACTTGCATTCTTGTTTTCTTTTTGCGTTTTAGGGTTCCGTACCCAAGGGTTAAATGAGACCCTTATTACTAGAACTCCGCTATCCGTCTGTCTGTCTGTTTGTCCGTCTCATGAACCGTGATAATTAGACAGTAGAATTTTTCACAGATGACCTATTTCTGCCGCTATAATAGCAAATACTAAAAAAACAATAAAAAAATATTGAAGTGAGGCTCCCATACACATGGTTTTGTTTTCCGTTTTTAAAGATATTGGTACGGAACGCTTCATGCGGTAGGCCGACTCGCACTTGGCTGGTTTTTTTTTTCTGTTTTCGTTTTCGGTTAATATTTGCCGCATTCAAAAAGGCGCAGAGCCGCAATGGCCCTTATAAAAGCAGCGGTTGGAGTGACGCAAGATGCTCCCTCTAGAGGAATGTAAATAATTTAGCGGACTGTCCTTTGACTCATACCGGCGCCGGTCTGTTTGCAGGGCTAATTTTGCAAATTGCTCTGGGGAAATCTCCGCACCAAAAAATTCCTAATTAAAATGTTGGTCCGAGTAGAATACCGATATGAAATGGTTCGGATATTTCCGGTGTCCTCTGGTAACTTCCCTGTTTAATATTAGTTATCTATACGGATGTAATACTGAAATTCCTTTTTCATATGAGAAGATGGTAGGTGCGCTTATTAACAACACCCGTAGCGTTACAAATGCGTTGACACTTTAAATTAAATAGGTAGGTTTCATTTTAATAGGTAGGCCCGGCTAGCTCACTCACCAGACGAAACGCAGAAGTATAACATTTCCACTTCAGTATAATAGTGTAACATTTTCACTTAAGTGCGATAATAGTGTTGGTACCTTAAGCGCAGTCAAATATAGTCACATTCTATTTCCGATTCAGCGGCAAGGACTACAGCGTCAGGTATAACTTCAGCATTGAGACAAAGTCCGGTCAGACAAATGTAGCAGACAATTCGGTTTTAAATACGCCTCCCGCAAGCTCGCCGCCTCATACATACGAAATAAGTGGCGCGGACGGCGACGCGGCACGGCCCGTTTAGGTTTCCTTCAGGGTTGTACTTAACTGTTCCGTTGTAATAAATATATCATGTGCGAAACATATGGCCAACGAATAAGAGAACACAGATTTTTAAGCTTATCGAAAACACGTAAATCTAGATTGTACATAATTTAGATGACAATAGACTTTTCTAAGATCAATAATGCAATGAGAAGTAATTGTAACGGTACCATTTCACCAAATCGTTCATGGATTTCGAATGATGAATGGACACCACCATAAAACGGTTGCATATATTTTAAATTAAAGTTACTTAATTCTTAACGCTTCGAGTACTAATCATTCGTAAATAGTTTCGTAAAATTAATTGTCAAAAAGAAATCGCCTAATAACATTTAATACATATTTCGTGCTGAAGATTTCTATTATTAATAGCAGAAAAACACGTCCAGACCTTTGTTTAACAGAACAGTATATCGTCTGTTTCAGACATATGTGTAAAGTTACAGCCCTAAAGAAGAACTCGGTGTTTTACTGCGGATCCATGAACTTTGCGGAAAAGGGAAGCGACAATTGTAGTCGCAATTACGCCGGTAAGGAAACTCGACTCTCGTTGACCACGCCAATTTCCAATTCTTGATCTTAACTTACGAATCTGTTTCACGTTTTTGGGATCCCGTACCCAAAGGGTACAACATGACCCTATTATTAAGGCTCCACTATCTGCCTGTCGGTTCATCTCATGAACCGTGATAGTTAGACAGTCGAAATTTTCACAGATGGCGTATTTCTGTAGCTGTTATAACAACAAATACTAAAAAGCAGAATAAAAAATAGTTAGGTGGGGATCATATATAACAGACATTATTTTTTGGCTTTTTTATAGATAATGGTATGGAACCGTTCGTGTGCGAGAACTTGGCCGGTTCTTTATTCATTATTCTTTTTACACATAATCCATAGCCAAATGTTTCTTTACTGCCAAGTACTATCAACATGCATACCGTTTATAAGTGACGAATTTAAAATTTATATTTTTTATATTGTGATTCGTGGAATAATCTACATTTATTTTGGTTCTAATGAAGAATCGCCAACGTCATCACAAACTAAAAAAAATTATAGTGGAGTGGAGTATTCACTAATATTATTTTGCAATTGAAAAAGGGATACATAATTAAATAATATAAATGTAAACTAAGATACATAATTATATAATGTAAATATAAACTAAGATAATCGTTGTCTATCTTTTTATTATTAATTATTCTTCATAGAAAGTATTGATAACTAATTTTTTTCGTTTTTTTTTAAACTTTGCCCTTACTTTAGGATAACATTATCGCGTGTTGTAAGGACGTTTTACGACAGTAAATTTCACCTGTACAAATATCCAGATGCGAAACAACTATCTGTGGGTCACAAAAATAGTTGTCCCGTGTGAGAAGCGAACCCACGGCCCCTGACGCCGAAGCCAATACCTTGGTGACTGCACCACGCACTTTAATAATAACGACATATGTTTGAATAATAACGATGTACCTATTATACATATATAAAATATATTGCTTACGAAAGTGATTGATGGAATTCTTGATTACATTGTAAAAAAGCTAGCGTATTCGCACGACTGCGGAGTTATGCAACAATGCAAACACCGTGCCTCCGTATAACCAATTCGATAATGTGATTGATATTGATTTATACACAAAAAACTGCACATGCGTTATTTGTACGCTTACTCTAATAAAACATGCAATGCGTTATACTACTAATATTTCAAAATAAGCGAACCTTTGGCCTAGATCCGCGGGTTCGAACTCATGAAATTAGTCATTTAATCTTGTGTCGTGGGATTAATTGTTATTATTATTATATACAACAGAGTCTTTACGGACGTGGACCGTGGAGATGGATGGATGGATGACATTGGACGTGACCAACGTGAGCGATATACCAGATAAATCCAAAGCGTTAGCAAAGATTGAACTTTAGATTCAAGGACTACGGACATGGGATCGCAATAATTTTTAATCTCCGGACAAACATGGTTTACCAGATTTTAACACAGACACTGTACCGTACGGTAAATTAACGGCAAAGTACCTGGAAATTTTAGAAGTTTATATTCGACGAGTGTTGTATGGCACCGATTACTTTTAACTTGATAGTTTTCTGTCCTGCTTACTTACTTTACTTTATATATACTGCTTTCATTACTTATTCTAATAGCTGATACGATACTATAATAAAAATGAAAACGAAACAAAATTTAAAAATGCAATTTAAATAGAATTGTAATAATTTCGGAAATATAATTGTAATAATGAAATAAAAGCATTATATAAAAAAAATTAAACATAATTAAACAATTTCTTACTTATCACTATAACATTTACACAACCTAATCTTATCGCTAATAACTATCTTCTTAAACCAATAGACCGGTCCATTCCCTTTAAGTAAAACCCTTTAATACTTTAGTCTTAGTTTACTTCATTATTCCGTAGCATTAAATATATATTGTATGCTATTATATATATTATTAAATTTATACCAACAGAAAACAACTGAGGTAGGGCCACGCCCAGTTATCTCTATTGCGTGAATGGGCAAGCAGTACTTTACGTGTACCATGACCTCACCATCGAGAAGGGCGAGATACTTCTGTGTTTCGCCTGGTGAGTGTGGTAGCCGGGGCCCACTTAATTAAACGGTGGCAACGTATCTGCGACCCTTCGGGTATTGCAAATTTCGTTGGGCGGCGGTTATCACTTAACAGCATGTGAACTGCCAGCTCGTTTGCCACCTCCTAACATAAAAAAAACACGGGAAACATCAAAATTTATTATCTTCAAGATTCATTTCTTAAAGTATGTGTATATTAAACAATTATATTGTACAGAAAACTACTCTATTTTACTCTAGTACTTATTTCTAAGGAAACATTCCAAACCATCTGCATCATGCATATTTGCGCCTTTGCGTGTCATATTTTGCGTTTTCACTTATAAGGCGGAGTAAAGGGGTGAAAGAAAAAGCTTAATGGGCTAAATATTCGTGCCTTTCCACCGTCTAGACGTTATTTCATTCGCGATACACACGAAAGCAGTGACATTCTAGAACGCGTTCTGTAACACAGTCTCCTATTGTGTGCGCACCCAAAGCCCCAGAGCGTGCGTTAGTACCTTAAAACTTAGCGGTTTCTTTAATACCATTACAAGAATGCGAGGGAATCTCTACAGCTCAGCAGTAGAGTCACTCACCCTAGTTTTCTATCATTATCACGACAAAACTAAATACTTAATGTTTGGGTTCTATGCGACCTTAACAAGAATGGTGATGCAGCAATTTAAAGTCAAGCTCTTTTCTTTAAAACTTGGCGAGTAGTGAGACTTCCTGAGTAGAGCAAAGCAGTATTTCCTGC